AATGAGAATTAATCAATTCATAACATCCATTTAAATATTTAAATGTATGTTATATTATAAATTAAGATTTTAATTAAACCCAAAATTGAAAATTAAAAATATAATAATTTTGAAAGTTGAAACTTAATATAATTTTCAACAATCCCCCACAAGTTTTAAGCTTTCAAAATAATTAAAAATATAAAAAAGTGGCAACATAATACTGTGTAATAGGTATAGATGTCTTTTGGACTTGAACCTCACTTAGTGATAACAATTTCAGTTTGAGGGAGTCATAATGGACTGAGCCTTGAATTAGGTCCCTTTGGCCAAACTTCAATTGTTCCACACACAGTATCGATTTAGGCTCAGTTCATAGCAAGTAGCGCTGTTAATGGCCATGTGCTCTAATCTTGATTCTAGTGAGAGTCTTTAGGGAATAGCCCAATCTCATAGCCACAGCCTCATGACAACTCTTATATAGGTGAGTCCTCCAAGGGTGTGTGTGACCCACACCTCGCGAAAATTTTTGCCTCGATACTCATTCAGGTTAAACTCTTCCTAGCATCACATTATTATTAACATTATATCACCATAGGGATGAGCACAAAGAAGATAGTACTATACAAGTCACGTAGTAAGGGTTGTTTCTACCACATTGAACCTTTTTCATGGGATCTCCAATCATGAAGGTTGGGTTACTCCCGGAAGTGACTTCCTTATGGGTTTAAACATATCCCCCTCGATGATTTATGTATGTCCATCTCCGACTACATATAGTCATGTCCTTCTTGGATAATATATTGGTACCATTAATTTGTAAAGCTCTTATTTTCTATTGCATATCTGCATATCTTCAAAATCTTCTAAAAACCTTTCAAAATATCAAAGTCACATTTAAGTATAATAAGATAAACATGAAATTTAAAATTGACTTCTAGTCACATATTTGAAGACGTGTATCCATTCAACTCTTGTATTTCACTTGCATGTATCCAATTTCTAACACTTCTTAAAAGTTAGTTTTACACATAAGGAAATAAAATTTAAGATGTGTTTATCTAAGATTTTAAACACCCCCACATTTTAAAGATATAATAATTCATTACCAAATAATATTTCAATCTCCCTATATCACAATATAATATTGATCTTTGTTGTCAATTAAGACTGTCCAAGACTATTCAAATGTTAATCATCAATGCACCGGAATAAAGTTAATTAGCAACAAATAATGAGATATAATTTTGTAATACCTTAATTTAGTAAAAAAACAAAAGCAAAATGAAAAGTCAAATATGTCATACTATTATCTAAAAAAAAAAGGACAAAAGAAAAAGATTAAGGCGGTGGAGGATTGGATTGATATCAATCCAATCCAAAACCATTACAAAACAAATAAAAATCCATTTTTTACACCCACAACAGAGAGAAAACGAGGCAGGAAGAGAAAAGAGAAAGGAAAAAGAAAAAAAAAGGAGAAGAGGAAGAGGAAGAGGAAGAGGAAGAGGAAGAGGAAGAAAAAAAAAGGAAAGTTCGCCTATGTTGTTACAAAATAAGTGGTCTACACTATTAGGTTTGAATTCCTCAATTTTGAAAGGTAAGTAAAATGTTATTTATTGTCAAGTTATATTTAATTTTATAGTTGTTAGATTGTTAGATTAAATTCAATTTTATTGAAGGGGTTAAGTATAATAAACTATGAAATTGAGTAAAGTGAAAGAAAAATTAGTTTTAGCGATTAAAGAGACTGCGGAAATTGCTTAAAAGTGAAATGATTAAGTTTGGGCATTACCTATTTAATTATTGAAATTTCTAAAAATAATTAATTGTTGATTTAAAAATTATATCATATTTCAGACAGCGATACTGACATCGGGACAGCTTACCAACCGAGTTAATTTTGCGAACATAGTTCTGTGAGTGAAAAACTATAAATATTTTTAAAGTATTTATATATTAATTATATTATCAAAGTATGTACAATTATGTGTTTGATTATATTATTATTATGAAAATCTCTTTTATTATGATACATGCGGAATTTCAAGGATTATTTATTGTACATTTGTGACTTGGTATATGAGACGTGATATTGAGATCGACCAAAAAAGTACCCGTGATTATGTACTTCTTCTAGTTCACAGAGGGGCCTTGGCCGTGATCTGTACTACACTAAGGGGTTGACTGGGGATGAAGGGGTAGTTACCGTGTATATATAGTTCACTGAGGAGCTTTGGTCATATTTTAGAATTAATTATCAGAGGTCTTGAGACTCGCTTTCATTCACGGAGGGGCCAAAGGCCCGTGGCGAAAGTTTTTAGCCCGTGGGGCGGATTGCAGATTTTAGTCAGAGGGCACATTTGTGGTGGATCACATGTGATCTGATGAGATGATAGTATAGATACCAGCTGATAACTATATCGTGATTAAGAGATGATATTTACAATGTTATGAGAATGTCTCACTTTTTGTCTGTAATTGTATGAGACTATCATATGAAATATTAAATTATATGAACTCGATGTTTGATAAAAATGTTTAAAGAAGAAAGTATGATTATTTTCGAACTTCTCCACTCACTGAGTTATCAACTCATATATTTTCCCGCAATTTTTCCTACAGGTTGCAATCGATTCTTATTAGCTGGAAGAGCCTAATGATTTCGAAATGAGAGCCATACTTGAATATTATAGCTCATATTGATGACGCACGAAGTAAATATTTTAGGCACATTGCATTATGTTTTACATAAGCATTTGATTTTATTGCATTTTTTTAAAATAACTCATAGTCAGCCTTGATGATAGATTTGACATCTAGTCAGCGTCTATCATCGACGCACGTCACATTTCGGGTCCACTAGGATGATTTGGGATGGGTCGTGTCAAATTTTCAAGTCCAATGTGCCCTAGAGTGTTGTATAGTCTAGCCCTGAAGTGCTTCTTGGCTCTCGAGTTTCCTTTCCATCTTTCCTAGTTAGTCACTATAACTTTAAAACGATATGCCTTAATATATGACATTAGTAGAAGAGAAGGCTTCTCTTTCTTAGATTTCTTTGCTTTTTTCTCCTAAGTCCTTTTTTTTTTAATTTCATTATTCTTTATTCATTTGTAGCATCGAAAATATAAACAGTTCTAGAATGCATTCTTATATAAATCAAATACATATTCATTGGACTATTTTACAGTGCACAATAACAGAGAAATTTCTATTTTATATGTTCCTCTGCTATCACTGATGAGTGATTTACACTCATTATATTATGCTATTAATTTCATGATTTTGCTATCTTGGAGAGTATTTTAGAAGTGCTAACAAGTGATTTTGGTGTTGTTTTGTAGATTGATGAAAGTTGAGAAAACAAGAGCTAAAAGAGGTCAAAGGAAGGAAATAGGCAAACGCTAGCGAAATTGGATGAAATGACCAAAACGTAAGAGATCCAAAGTTCGAGGATTAAAATGCAATTAATCAAAATTCTTGTCGAAACTTGAAATGAAGATCCGAGAGTTCTAGAAGCCAACTAGATGAAGGAAGGTGTCAAAGGGATCAAATTTAGTCAAGATATGATCATAAATCATTCTCCAACAAAAAAGTTTTGCGCCGGAGTTTTGGTCTCACATTTAGACTCATTTTTGACGTAGAAAACGAATGAATTGAGAATGATTCCTGAATCAAAATTGTAGTCCTTTGAATTATCTTTTCAACTCATCTTGAATCACTTCAATCGGATATCGAACGAGAAAGTTATGCTGAAAATACTGAAGGACGCGCAGAATACCGTTTCGGGCGTACCGGGCGCCCATCTTGCTGAAACAAGCAGAAAGTCAGTGCCCAGGCGCTGCATTCCGAAACAAAAGGAAATTCTGATTTTATAATATTTTCTCGGCCCAATTAGTAACCTGTTGTTCCCTAAATTCCAAGACACTATAAATACACAATTGAAGACCTAAATTAGGGGGGAGCCGCACACTAAAAATCTGTGGAATCAAGCCACGTGTTCTTGACATATTGGACAAAAGACAACAAGAAGGGAGATTGAAAAGAGAAATTCAAGAAGATTAACACCAAGCAATTGAAGATTAGAAGCATTCATTAGAAGGGGAAGGAGATCTTGGTGCAAGAATTCTACTTTTTCTTCTACATCTTTATTACAAATTCGGTGATGCATTCTAAGACAATTTCCTATTTTTCTTCCATTATTATGAGTAGTTAAATTTGATTTTAGGGCGAACAATGTAATCTTTTGGAATCCTTTATTTCATGCAATTGAGATTCTAGTGCTTTTATATTTTATGTGTTGATTTTAATGTTGTTCTTAATACATTTAATTACTTGATCACTAATTAGATGATTTGTGAACAATGATTGCGTAGAGATGCGGATTATTTGTTTAGACCACATGTTAAAATCCGATAAATTGATATAGCGTGTAGAGATACATATATTGATTGTTGCGGTCGTGTGTGAATTCTTAGAACCAATGTTTCGTTTAATTAAATTTAATTTGCATAGAGATATGGAATTAAACTAATTAAATAGGCTCAATGAGAATTCAAAAGGGGTAAGTTGAATATATTAGAAGAATTCGACCGAACACTACCTTAGGTTTTATGAATCTTGATTTATGAAGTAAAGGTGACCAATAGGTGAAATTGTTCCGCCCTAACGTCCATTTATTCTTTGAATTCTCAATTACTTTTCGTTGCATCCAATCTCATTTTGTAAGTATTTAGAATAAAAATCACATTTAATCATTGTTTTTGTTTATTTTCGTCAAATAGAAGTTAGAAATAATAAATTGGGCATCAAAAGTATAGTCCTTGTGGGAACAATAATCCGGACTCAAAAGGTCAACTTTACTACTTGTTACGATCCATTCACTTGCGGGATAAAATCGACAATAAGTTTTTGACGCCGTTGCCAGGGACTATTTTCTTTTAGTCTTAATTTATTTTTTATTTTGACTGTTGTTTGATTTTTTTATTTTTCTTTTATTTATAGAAAATTATGTTCGTTGTATGCTTCGTGCCCAAGACGACGATCTTGAACCGTTTGATTCGGAGATAGAACGTGCCTTCAGACGAAGACGCAAGGAACATAAACAAAAACAGCAACATCAAATGGCTGACAATCAACAAATTCATATCCCTATTCAGCTAGTTGGACAAATGGCCGCAAGAGTGGCACCACCGGAACAGCAGCATGAGCGAAGGGAAATAAATGAAGGTGATTTGCCAGTATCAATGTTCCTGACACCTATAGCAGCACCCATACGCTCCAGTATTGTGTATCCAGATTTTGGGGTGAATAACTTTCAGATCAGGCCAGATTGGATTAACTTGATGAGCAACACTCTGCAATTCTACGGGCTACCTCATGAGAATCCGAACACACAAATCTCCAAATTTCTCAGAAATTGTCAAAACTTCTATGCTCCGAGGGTCAATGAAGATGCTATTAAATTACGACTGTTTCCATTTACATTGAGAGATACTGCATTGGAGTGGTTATATGCGGAGCCTCATGCCAGCATTACTACATGGGAAGAACTTATCAGGAAATTCTGCAACAAATTCTTCCCACCAGCCAGAGTAGCTAAAATCAGATTGGAAATTCAAACTTTTCAACAGAAAGAGGGAGAAAGCTATCACGAGACATGGAATAGATTTAATGAGCTGATGAGAAAATGTCCAAACCATGGAATCACTCAAGGAAACCAAGTGCACTACTTCTACACTGGACTTGCACCATTGTCAAAATCTCAAGTTGATGCCTCTGCTGGTGGATCAATCATAGGGAAATCAGTGCAACAAACCATGGACCTATTTGAGTTAATTACCACCACACATTCAATGTTCTCATCAGAAAGAGTGGTACCACCAAAGGCAGGAGGAATGTATGAATTAGATAGCACAACATCTACCAACGCACAGATAGTAGCTTTAACAAAACAGGTAGAGTTACTTGTAAAATTGCAAACACATGGAGCAAATGCAATGATGGCAAGTTTAGCATGTGAGAATTGTGGGAGAAATCACGTTATAGAGAGCTGCATGATGCTCACTTCTTCAAAGGAACAAGTAAACTTTATTCAAAATAGCTCCTGTAATTTCACCTCATATGGTAACAATTTCCAACAAGAAAGAAGACCAAGTTTGGGGGAGATGTTTCAACAATATGTGCAGAAGACGGACAAGGTGTTCCAGCAAATTAACACTAACTTTCAAAATCAACAGGCATCCATCAAAAAACTGAAGACACAAATTGGTCAGATAGCACAACAACTTGTAGAACATCCACAAGGGACATTGCCAGGCAATACAATGATAAATCCTAAGGAACAGTTGATGGCAATTGAAGTAGTGGAGAACGATCCACCCAGGGCCCCCGTAAAAGTTAAAGCGTATGTACCTTCACTTCCGTTTTCCCAAAGATTTCGAAAGAAGTCAATGGAGCAAAATATTCATGTCATAAATACAAAGAGCGAAGTACAATCACCAGAGATCACTACAGAGAGACCCAAAAGAAAAGATGACCAAGAAGTGATTGATGAAGCTACAAGGGTAGAAAAATCTGCACCAAATGCAACTGAAAATAGAGAAGGTACAGAAACATCAGCTGTCAAAGCACCAAGTCTAGACAAAGCTTACATGCCTCCCATTCCCCTTCCTCAAAAGCTCAAGAAGAACAAACAAGACACAAACTATGAAAAATTCCTCGATGTTCTCAAGAACCTCCAAATCAATGTTCCGTTCATAGATGTGATACTACAAATTCCAACCTATAAGAAATTTTTGAGAGAGATGTTGACAAAGAAAAGAAAGCTTCCGGAGTTTGAAACCGTGGCATTAACTAAGGAAAGTAGTGCAAGAGTTCAGAGAAAATTGCCTCCTAAATTGAAGGATCCAGGGAGTTTTACTTTACCAGTTTCAATTGGAAATTCCTATTCAACTAATGCATTCTGTGACACTGGTGCTAGTATCAATCTAATGTCGTATTTTGCTTACAGGAAATTGGGACTAGGTGAACTCAACTCAACATCAATAATGCTACAACTCGCTGATAGAACAATCACAAAACCACGTGGCAAAGTTGAGGATGTACTCGTCAAAGTAGGAAATTTAATATTTCCTGTGGATTTCATTGTATTGGACATACCAGAAGATCGAGACATTCCAATTATATTGGGTCGACCATTCTTAGCAACGGGACGAACCCTTATTGACATGGAGAAGGGAGAGCTAATCTTGAGGGTGGAGGACAAGCAGGAGATATTCAATATTTACATCCAATATGAGAAACCTCCCAATAAAAATGATTGTTATAGAATTGATGAAGAAGAGTCACCTGATCAACGAAGGTGTCAAAATAAAAAAAACAAATTTTGGAGAACTTCTTGATAGAGATAAGAATGGGCAAATCAAAATTTGGAGAGCAAAAAGGGACTGCATCAATGAAAATTGCACAGAGTGTAATGATGGAATAGCTTGGTTTGAGCCACCACGATAAACCAGCGGCACAAATCAAGCTAATGACTTAAAAGAAGCGCTTCTTGAGGGGTAACCCAAGCTTTTATTTTATTTATTTTGTTTTCAAAGTTCTAAGATAGTTTAATTTATAGTTTATTTAGGAATCATCACCCATATACCTTCTACCCATAGGTCTTGGAGTAATTAAATTGGTTATTAAATGTTTGAGCTAAGTAATCCTTGTTCCATGAGTTTAATTTTTCAGAAACATGACGTCGCGGAACACTTAAACCAACATGGACATGGAGAAAATGGGATAAATCTCAAGCTTGGGGAAAAATGTAGAAGAAGAGTCAATCAAATGCAACACCAAGACACCACAACATCATAGGCAATACTGACATTTCATTTTCCTTTAAATTTTACATTGAGGACAATGTTTCAGTTAAGTTTGGGGGAGTAACATCAGTTGCTTACATTGTTGAGTTTCTCGAATGCTTATGTGTGATTTGCTTTTTTATGTGTTTGTGTTTTTATTTAAAAAAAAATTTTCGTTTCGTGTTTTTGCATACTTGTGCGTGTTAGATAACATTGCCGGTATTTATATGTGTAATTGAGAACATGTGTTGATTTATAAATTGTGGACGAGTTATGTGTTTGAGTTAGATTTTTGCTTATTCATGTGAAACGAAAATTATTTTTTGCACGTGAGTTGATTGTAGCATTGTGCATGAGGAGATTGATTCACGTTTATAGGTTGAAATAGAGAACTTAAATGCTAAACCCAAACAACCATTAAACATCACAATACCCTTAAACCAAACTTTGGACGTTTGGATGATCGCACCGTTGTAGGGAAGTTTGGAGATAAATGTGGATTTCGTGTGTGTTAATTTTTGTGTGAATTGTCTAGGACCAATAGGATGAAAATTGGGTGAAAACCTTAAGTTAGAGGTCGATTTTCGAGGATAGGTGTTTAATACGGGACATTGAACTAATCACCGAATAAAAGAAAAAAAGATCCCAATGAGGACAACTTTAATAATCTCATTGTGAATCGTCTCTTTGTAGCCTTTATGACTCAAGTGATTAAGCTTGTAAGGGTTTAAAATCTGGTGCCCTAAAGTCATCTGATTTGGGAGTTATCGGCCTAAAACTCGCTACACGGGTCATTTAGAAAGTTTAAGGGAGAGACGTCTGCACAAAGAGTGATTAAAGAATAAAGATATATATAAAAAAAATTAAAAAATAAAAAGAGAAGAAAATAGATATCAAATGCCTTGATTAAGCTCCGAACACTTGTTTTAGAGGATTAGACTTTTGATAAGGGGTAAGTAACTTGGTTGATTCCTAGAGGTTGAAGCAGTCAAAAATAAGGAGAATCCTCATTTGTTGACATGTGGAACTACAATCAGTAAAATCTAACCAAACTTGAGTGGTGTAAGAAATTAGTATTGAAAATTTAACCTTAGGTTACACCCTTGGAAAGAGAAAAGAAAATAAGTTTGGGGATGTGTGAATCCCACGAGCAAAGTAAGGAAAAATTTGACTTCTAAGGTCGAGAACTGGGTCAACTTATTATTGTACAGCGTTGCACTTGACTCTCCACACACACCCCCGTTGTGCATTGAATAGGCAAGAATTTAACTTTTGTATTATAACTTTGAAGTAGTTCATGGAATCGAAGTTATGTTTTTAATTCTCAGACATGAAGGCAAGCTATCTAGCGAAATTTATTTTAAGTGATTTTGTTTGTCTTAGTTGTGCATGTATGTCCATTAATTATTTTTACGGGTTTTGGTGTTTGCTCGAGGACAAGCAAAAGATTAAGTTTGGGGGTGTTTGATGAGTGATTTATTCTCATTATATTATGCCATTAATTTCACGATTTTGCTATCTTGGAGGGTATTTTAGAAGTCCTAACAAGTGATTTTGGTGTTGTTTTGTAGAATGATGGAAGTCTAGAAAACAAGAGCTAAAAGAGGTCAAAGGAAGGAAATAGGCAAAAGCTAGCGAAATTGGATGAAATGACCAAAACATAAGAGATCCAAAGTTCGAGGATTAAAATGCAATTAATCAAAAGTCTTGTCGAAACTTGAAATGAAGATCCGAGAGTTCTAGAAGCCAACTAGATGAAGGAAGGTGTCAAAGGGATCAAATTTAGTCAAGATATGATCATAAATCATTCTCCAACAAAAAAGTTTTGCGCCGGAGTTTTGGTCTCACATTTAGACTCATTTTTGACGTAGAAAACGAATGAATTGAGAATGATTCCTGAATCAAAATTGTAGTCCTTTGAATTATCTTTTCAACTCATCTTGAATCACTTCAATCGGATATCGAACGAGAAAGTTATGCTGAAAATACTGAAGGACGCGCAGAATACCGTTTCGAGCGTACCGGGCGCCCATCTTGCTGAAACAAGCAGAAAGTCAGCGCCCAGGCGCTGCATTCCGAAACAAAAGGAAATTCTGATTTTATAATATTTTCTCGGCCCAATTAGTAACCTGTTGTTCCCTAAATTCCAAGATACTATAAATACACAATTGAAGACCTAAATTAGGGGAAAGCCGCACACTAAAAAGCTGTGGAATCAAGCCACGTGTTCTTGACATATTGGACAGAAGACAACAAGAAGGGAGATTGAAAAGAGAAATTCAAGAAGATTAACATCAAGTAATTGAAGATTAGAAGTATTCATTGGAAAGGGAAGGAGATCTTGGTGGAAGAATTCTACTTTTTCTTCTACATCTTTATTACAAATTCGGTGATGCATTCTAAGACAATTTCCTATTTTTCTTCCATTATTATGAGTAGTTAAATTTGATTTTAGGGCGAACAATGTAATCTTTTGGAATCCTTTATTTCATGCAATTGAAATTCTAGTGCTTTTATATTTTATGTGTTGATTTTAATGTTGTTCTTAATACATTTAATTACTTGATCACTAATTAGATGATTTGTGAACAATGATTGTGTAGAGATGCGGATTATTTGTTTAGACCACATGTTAAAATCCGATAAATTGATATAGAGTGTAGAGATACTTATATTGATTGCTGCGGTCGTGTGTGAATTCTTAAAACCAATGTTTCATTTAATTAAATTTAATTTGCATAGAGATGAAATTAAACTAATTAAATAGGCTCAATAAGAACTCGAAAGGGATAAGTTGAATACAATAGAAGAATTCGACCGAACACTTAGGTTTTATGAATCTTGATTTATGAAGTAAAGGTAACCAATAAGTGAAATTGTTCCGCCCTAACGTCCATTTATTGTTTGAATTCTCAATAACTTTTCGTTGCACCCAATCGCATTTTGTAAGTATTTAGAATAAAAATCACATTTAATCATTGTTTTTGTTTATTTTCGTCAAATAGAAGTTAGAAATAATAAATTGGGCATTAAAAGTACAGTCCTCATGGGAACGATAATCCGGACTCAAAAGGTCCACTTTACTACTTGTTACGATCCGTTCACTTGCGGGATAAAATCGACAACAATCGCGATAAGCTCAATCATTTTAGAAATAGCAAAATCTAAAAAGCACCTTAAGTACTACTGCCCTAGAAAAGTGTCAAACTACAAAATCAAGACGTTGAACTTGGTATATTTCCAACTATCTTAGGTATTTATAGTCCATATATAACTTACAATAATATTAATATCTTTTTATTCTCATGCATTCAATTTTCATACCTAACCTCTGAAAGTGGTGGCTGGAATGATACTACTCACAATTAATCCATTTAAAGGGTAAGTTACACTCAATAATTAAGATTTTCAACTTTATATTTAAGACGAAAATTAAAGTCAAAACTGAAAATTTAGGAAGGTTTTAATTTTGAAATATTAAAACTTCATTTTTATGTTACACTTAAGATGTAAACAAAATTATGCAGATTAGTCATGATAATACACCTCTTTTAAAATATTAATTAAGCACATTATTGAAGTTTGAATCTTTTAGCCATTTGTTTATAATCAAATCATAGAATTTCCATGAAATCAAAATATTCCATATATTCATGTGCATGACAAAATACCAATTTTTATTTTAAAATACTCTTAAGATTTCAGCATTTAACTTGTTACACGTGAAATAATAATATAGACACTTGCCTATTCAATGCACTTCCATAAGCTTGCATGAAACAACATGGTCTTACCACTAAAACCTGATCTATTGCATCCAACAATCAATATTGTGAGGTACTAATTCATTTCTGCTTTCAGTATCAGGATATTAAGACTCATGCTCGATGGTTTATTTACGTCCGTGACTAATTTTCAGAATCTAATATGCAATACTGTATTTCTTAGGTTTGTTCCGCCAGGCTTAAACTTTAGTTTTATAACTTTCATACCCAAAGTTCAGGAGGCTAGGCCAACAGTCACTGACAACTTCTTTTTCAAGATTAACACCAACACTTTAACCAATTAAGTCCCATTGGCTCCAAAATTGTGTCAGATAATCAATACCAATTTGCTAAGGGGCGGTAAATTGAAGAGTGCATTGCAGTGGCTTAAGAGTGTGTTAGTGCTTTGAAAAAAAATGATATTCGTAAAGCTTTTGATACATCAGTTGGGATTTTCTCCTATGGGTATTACAATGCTACGGATTTAATGCCATTTTTGTGCTAGAACAAATATTTAAATCTGCTAGAATATGAGTCTTGGTGAACAGGATGCCTAAGGGATATTTCTGATGCTAAAGAGTTGTTCATCATTTATATCTCCTTTAATTCGAGAGAATTATCTATTACTCATGAGGAGAGCTAAATGGATTATTAGTGAATACTCATGGGTGAGATTCTAATAGACCCCCAGTTCACATTACCTACCAAAGGCGCAACAGAGGGACAGGGGCAGAAAAGAAAATGTAAGGAGAAAGAAGGCCACATGCACAGTTACGTAATCTGTTGAGAGAATGATCTAGAAGCAGAGCAACCTATAAATAAGGATAGTCAAGTCCAATAAATCAGGCAGAAAATTGGTATTCATCTGGAGAGCAGTGGACCTCTCAAAAGTGCACATTTATTCCATTATTTCCTCTTTTAATCCGTTCATTGTAATTCCGGATTCGTTCTTTATATTACAGATCATTCTAGTGTAATTTCCAATGCATTAATGAAGTATTTTGCTGTGTTTCAGTTCTCATTCATCTTAAAAGGTGTTAAATAGGTTGTTAATATCCCAAAATCCTATCAACTGGTATCAGAGCAAATCGGTCCTGATGATGAATTTGATAGATAGAGTGGGGAGTTTAGAGGGAACCCAGCAGAAATTACAGGAGCAACTGGAGGGAATACAACAGGGAATTGATCGGATGCAAGTGGAATTACAGAGAGTGCAAAACATGGAGAAAAACATGGCAATCATCTCCGAGCAATTCACTTTCATGAGAACAAAGTGGGAGGAGGCGGAAAGGGAGAGGAAAGGAAAGGGACAAGATGGAGGTAGAGATTCAGAATATATTATGCACTCTGAGATTTCACCTGCCCTAGAGACGAAAAGTAGGGAGTTGGGAGGTGCTGTTGGTGGGAATTGGAGACCGAAAACTAAAGGGAGAAAGCTAGAGATGCCGGTGTTCATCAGGAAAAACCCAGATGAATGGATTTTTTGGGCAGAACACTATTTTATTGTAAACCAACTGACAGAGGAGGAGAAATTAGAAATAGCAGGTCTGTGTTTTGAAAAAGGGGCGCTAGCTTTGTATCAATGGAAGCAGAAGAAAAGGAGGGTACAAAGGTGGGATGAGCTCAAGGTCCTGATGCGAGCTTGATTTAGGCCTTCCATGGAGGGAACCTTGGAGGAGCTATTCCTCACTCTCCGACAAGAAAGCTCAGTGGTAGCTTACCGGGAGGCATTTGAAACTTTGGCCGCCCTGATTGGAAATATATCAGAAGCTATCTTGGAAGGTCATTTCCTAAATGGGCTAAGCCCAAAAATTAGGGTCGAAATCAGGGTAATGCAGCCCAAAGGGTTGGACCAGATCATGGAACTGGCCCAAAGAATTGAAGAAAAAAAATCAGGCATTCCAAACCCATGGACCCATTAATAGTAGATCGAATCCCAGCTCCAATTGGGTCATGTCGTCACCATGAAGCAATCAGATTTTTCCCCAGAGCTCTAGCCCCAAGCCGACGATGACCCGTTTTTCCATGTCGACTAGCGCGACCAATTCATCCTTCAAAAAGCTCAGCGAATCCGAGTTACGAGCTAAGAAGGAAAAAGGGTTATGCTTCCGTCTTGATGAGAAGTATTCCATTGGACACAAATGCAAGAATCATGAACTGCAAGTTTTGCTAGTTTGTGATGAAGGCGCCGAATAGCTGGGTAGAAGAGCCAGTGGAAGAAACGATCGAAGAGGAGAAGTCGGTGGTCGGGGAGTTGGTAGAGCTGCCGATGAACTCCGTAGTAGGACTTACATCGTCTCACACTATGAAAATTAAGGGAAAATGTTTGAAGGAGGAAGTACTAGTGTTAATCGACTGTGGAGTAATTCATAATTTTATATCAGCAGACCTGGTGAGGAAATTGGGTTTACCAAGAACAGAAACAATGGTCTATGGGGTCATCATGGGTACTGGGCTGACAGTGCAAGGAGCAGGGGTATGCAAGGGAGTACAATTATCACTTCAGAATATTGAGGTAGTAGAAGACTTTCTACCTTTGGATCTGGGAAGCTTCGACGTAATTTTGGGAATGAAATGGCTGTCCACTCTAGGTCAAACAAAAATCTATTGGAGGATACTGACAATGAAATTTCAAATTGGGGGCACTACCATGACCTTGAAAGGGGACTCGAGCCTTTGTAAAACTCTGGTCACTTTGAAGGCTATGATGAGAGCATTCAAAAGGGAAGGAGAAGGAGTACTTCTTGAACTGGGCTGTTTGGAGGTCGAGGGTGGAAAATTAACTGCAAAAGATGCCTACAGAAGTTGAACAAGTGCTGAGTGAATTTAATTCAGTCTTTGAAGAGCCGAGAGGTTTACCACCACCACGTGACCAAGATCACGCCATTACTCTCCAACCAGGGATAGCTCTTGTCAATGTGAGGCCTTATCGCTACCCCCATATCCAGAAAAAATGAAATAAAGAAGTTGCTTCGAGAGATGTTGGCAGCTAGAATTATCAGACATAGCACCGGTCCATTGTTGAGCCCCGTCTTATTGGTGATGAAAAAGGATGGCGAGTGGCGATTTTGTGTAGATTATCGAATAGTAAACAAGGTGACAGCTCCAGATAAATTTTCGATCCCCAAAATCGATGAATTATTGGATGGTTACATGGAGCAACGATCTTCTCGAAATTGGATTTGAAGGCAGGGTACCATCAGGTACGGGTCAGATCTGAGGATATCCCTAAGATAGCCTTCAGAACACATGAAGGGCATTACGAATTCCTTGTGATGTCGTTTGGTCTCAAAAACGCGCCGGCTACATTTCAGTCACTCATGAATGAGTTGTTCAGAGAAGAGTTAAGGCGATTCGTTCTGGTGTTTTTTGATGACATCTTAATATTCAGCCGCAATGTAGGGGAGCATGCGAGACATTTGAGAAGGGTATTGCAAGTGCTACTCCAACATCAGTTATATGCCAATAAGAAAAAATATAGTTTCAGCCAGCCGAAGGTAGAGTATTTAGGGCACATCATTTCTCGCCACGGGGTGGTGGCAAACAAATTAAAGGTCCAAGCTATGGTGGATTGGCCGAGCCCCAGTTCATTGAAGGAATGGCGGGGTTTCTTGGGACTTACGAGAGACTACCATCATTTTGTAAGGTTCTATGGCAAAATAGAATGGCCCCCTAACGGAACGACTTCAGAAGGACAACTTCTACTGGGATGGGGAAGCCGAGCAAGCCTTCAACAAACTAAAAGTAGCAATGTCTACTATTTCCATTCTGGCTCTTCCTGATTTTAATAAAACCTTAGTTGTAGAAACCGATGCTTCAGGGTTTGGATTAGGTGCAGTCTTGATGCAGGACCGACACCCGATTGCATATTATAGCCATGCGCTGAACCCGAAGGGAAAGATCAAATTAGCTTATGAAAGAGAGTTAATGGCGATCGTCTTCGCTGTTCAAAAGTGGAGGCACTACTTTCTGGGCCAAAAATTTTATGTGCTCACCGATCAAAAAAGTCTGAAATTTTTACTGGAACAACGAGAGGTAAATCCTAAATACCTGAAGTGGTTACTTAAATTGATGGGGTACCAATTTGAAATTCATTATCGGACAGGGAATGAAAACAAAGCTGCAGATGCCCTTTCCAGAGTTAGTTCTTCGGCAGACTTAATGGTGTTATCAGTTCCTACAGTGGTCCAGCTAGACACTTTAGCTGAGGAGGTAAGATCAGATCCGCAACTAAAGGACATCACTCAGAACCCTTCAAGTAGACCAGGTTATGCTCTGGTGAATGGTCAGCTATTGTTTAAAGGGAAATTGTTGCTTCCAAGAGGTTCAAAATTGATTCCACTGGTATTACAAGAAGGACATGACAGCAAGATAGGCGGACATTCCGGGTTTCTGAAAACTTATAAGCGTATTGCAGCAAATGTCTATTGGGAAAGAATAAAGTCTGATATCCACAGGCATGTCAGTTATTGCATCATTTGCCAACAGCACAAGTATAGTGCCCTCTCACCAGGGGACCTTTTACAACCGCTGCCCATTTCGGATTGCGTATAGAAAGACATTGCCATGGACTTCATTGAAGGATTACCGAAGTCAAGAAACATGGATACAATCGTGGTGGTGGTGGACTGCTTGAGCAAGTATGGACACTTTATTGGACTCAAACACCCTTTTACAGTAGCAAGTGTTTTTGTTAAATAAGTGATACGACTTCACGGGATACCTCAGTCTATAGTCTCGGACAGGGACAAGGACTTTATGAGTCGTTTTTGGGAAGAGCTATTCAGACCGCAAAGTACTAAACTCAACCGGAGTACCGCTTACCACCCCCAATTCGATGGACAATCAGAAGTATTGAATCGCACCTTAGAAACATATCTCCATTGTTTTGCTTCAATCTGACCTAAGTCCTGGTTTAGCTGGTTACCATGGGTAGAATTATGGTATAATACCTCTTACCATACAGCATCCAAGACGACTCCTTTTCAGATCATATACAGCCGTGATCCCCCATCATTGTTGAGGTTTGAGAAAGGGTCTACCCCGTTGTCAACAATAGAATAGCAACTGCTGGAATGTGATAAGGTCTTGGAGGAATTGAAGACACAGTTACTCAGGGCTCAAGCTAAAATGAAGAGTAGAGCAAATTCCAAAAGGAGGGATGTTCAATTCCAGATTGGTGAATTAGTATATTTGAAGATTAGACCCTATCGCCGGAAAACATTGGTTGCCCGAGGGAATGAGAAACTAGCTCCAAGATTTTACGGACCATTTGCAGTTGAGAAAAAGATTGGACAAGTTGCATATAAATTATCCCTGCCAGCTACATGTAAAATCCACCCGGTTTTTCACGTATCACAGTTGCGGAAAGCAGTAGGAGTAGAGCATGCAGTGGATGAAGTGCCTATCAATTGAGTTTGGAGCTGGAAATGTTAGTGGAACCTGAAGCAGTATTGGGGATGAGACCAAGGACTGGCCACAACAGCAGGGGTCTAGACGTTTTAATACAATGGAAAGGGATGCCGCCTCTAGTAGCCACCTGGGAGTCATTTGATCTGCTAAGACAGCAATTTCCATCCTTCCACCTTGAGGACAAGGTGAGTCTCATAGGGGGGGAGTAATGATAGACCCCCAATTCAGATTACCTACCAAAGGCACAACAGAGGGACAGGAGCAGAAAAGGAAAAGCAAGGAAAAAGAAGGCCACATGCACAGTTATGTAATCTGCTGAGAGAATGATCTAGAAGCAGAGCAACTTATAAATAAGGATAGTCAAGTCCAGTAAATCGGGCAAAAAATTGGTATTCATCTGGAGAGCAGTGGACCTGTGGAAAGTTCACATTTATTCCGTTGTTTCCTCTTTTAATCCATTCATTGTAATTTCGGATCCGTTCTTTATTTTACAGATCCTTCTAGTGTAATTTCCAGTGCATTAATGAAGAATTTTGCTGTGTTTCAGTTCTCATTCATCTTAAAGGGTGTTAAATAGGTTGTTAATATCCCGAAATCCTGTCAGATTCTTGACAGACAACTGGTTAGGTGATCGAACTTTTCTTTAGATACAAATAGGTTGCTTACGACACTTGTGTTAGATGTGTATTATACTAGCAATTGGTATCTACCAATAGAATTCAGGTCTTGGTACACTACCTATAGATGTGTATTAGGCACTCATGCACATCCAAAATTTATAAGCAACAATAAGGAAATTAATTTGGCATCAAAGGTAACAAAAGTACACTAAGATTACACATATGATTTATCTACACACAATATTTGAACACGACTTTAGATCGTTGGGAAAATTGGTGATTTGTGTGTAGATAAAATATTATTTAACACAACTATTTTAAGCATAAACATAGAAGTAATATAATTCAATAAGAATACAAACAAAAGAGGAGAGTTAGAAATGGCAAACATTGGGAGTCACGTTGAGGACACTGTTTTAAAGTTGTGTTGCCTCCCTTCGTGGGGGTCTTTTCAGCACTATACGACTCCAAGATAAAATCCATGTGGCTCTCCTTCTATGGGTACGACTATAGGGAGATAAAAATGAGCCTTTATCTAGTTGCCAAAATAGTATAGGGTAAAATTATAGAGAATAATTCTGGAATCAATCATACCAAGTTGTGTTTTTCTAATTGTATCTCAAATTGTGATTTTCCTCCCTTTATATAGTGTACAATTTAAACCCCTACACTAATGAGAATTAATCAATTCATAACCTCCATTTAAATATTTAAATGTATGTTATATTATAAATTAAGATTTTAATTAAACCCAAAAACTGAAAATTAAAAATACAATAATTTTGAAAGTTGAAACTTAATATAATTTCCAAGAACAATTCCTCTTATTTGAGAAATGTTATCTTTATGGGCTTAACATGTTAATTAAGGGCTTAAGTAGACTAGTTTTTTAGGCACATGATGTAGATTTGGTAAAAATGAGTGTACTGAGGTAGCATATGCAATGAGAGGGTCAAGAAATGTCACATTTCAAACTTTTTCCACCTCGTTTTTGGACTATGATTTCTCCATTGGCAAATGAGCATGTTGATAGACTCCCGGCTAATTGAACTTCCGAATCACAACATAAAGGAGCTCAAATTGATAATAACAAAGAAGAACGTTTCATTAATGATAAAATGGATGAATACAACCGAAATGAACGTAGAATGCTCAAAGGAAATAAAAGAAAAAATACTGATAATTGGACTTTCGAGAGGTCCAAGCTTTCCTGCTAGAAATATTCCACTTGCTAGCTGCCCTTCTCGCCATTTCTTCCCACTTATATACCCCCCACTCCATAACAGCTTATCCAACTGAATTTGTTGTGCCCATGTGTATAGAACTTTCTTTTTCTGGTCTCTCTTTTCTGCCCTAACTTCTTCTCTAGAATATTGAATTTGAATTGGTGACTTATCATTACTCTGCGCCACGAGACTGACCTTGTCCTCAAGGTGGAAGTCTGGGAACTGATTTCTCAACATTTCAAAGGGTTTCCATGTGGCTTTTAAGGGCAGTAAACCTATCCATTGCACCAATACTTCCAGACTCTTGATGTTATTTCCTCTCCCTGGTCGGACCCCCAACACTGCTTCCGGTTCTACCAACAACTCCATTTCTTCATTCAGGTGGTCCGGAATATTCATTATCATGTGCGATTGACCCTCAGCCTTGTGTAGTTGTGATACGTGAAAAAGAGGATGAATGTGAAAAGTTGATAGAAGTGTCAGTTTGTAGGCCACCGGTCCAATTTTCTTCTCCACCGGAAACGACCCATAGAATTTCGGGGCCAATTTCT